CACCAACTCTCATAAGGAATCGGTGATGACGAGGAATAATCCTAGGATAACCGGTTCGAGTCAAGGAAAGATGTACGGAAGTTGACTCGTGAGGGTCAAACCAAGGACCTATGGAAGTCGGGGCTCGTCCCCGGTCAATATTGGATCAAAGAATAGGGGGCCGCAGCACTGACCCTTTTTTGATTCAATACAATAGGGTAAAACATCGTACAGTTCCCTACCGAGACAAACTCTCAACGGATCCTCGGCGCGCTGGGCATACCTCTTCCGCGCGTCTTTCTCGTGGCGGGAACAGAACAACAGGGAAAGACCCGGCCGACCGGCCCAGGGCTCGAGGGCGAGCTTTCTTTATTTAAGAGAGAATGGGACATAATTCATATGGATATAGTCAGTCTCGCAAGAGTGACTCCCCCCTCTCACAACAAGGCGGATAGCGGAAAGGTGAGCATTTATCCAACAACGGTAAGCGGATAGGCTAACTAAAGCACCGGTAAGACCACACCAACACCGCTTCCTGTTTTAGTCCTTTCACAACCGATTCTGTGCTGTTCAACCCGCTCGGTCTTTGACCGCTTTCTGATCGCTGGTCAATGAAAACCCTAGACCCAACGCTCTATCCTTTACTGGCTGGTTGCCCCACAGGTTTGGAACCCTCCTTGCTCTTTTCTTTATTGTTGGATGGGGAAGAACAAAGAAAGTTAGACTGTCTCTGGGCAGCGAAACCTGAAACCCTTACGGTGAGGCAGAGATAGACATCTATCTCGATTCCTCTCTTTGACCCATCATCTTGCTTTTGAAACCGATCACTAGACCTCTCAAGCATTGTAGTTCCATCACATACGAAATAAGTGCCGACCCGCGCAAGTGAACGAGGAAACTGACCATTCCGCCGTTGGTCAGTTATTCAGCTAGGCAGGGTATCAACGGTCTAACTACGAAACCTTGATTTCAATGCCCGGACTTTCATCCCACACTCTTTCTTATTTCGTTTCAAGATCTAATATGATTTTTCATGATTTGGATTTCGATTTTATATGATATGATAAATAGGTTCTTTGATCCAGACTGCATGTGTTAAGCAGTTTCGCGTTTGCCTTCTCCTGCCTTACCCTGGAACTCTATAGTTCCCCTCTCTCCAACCTCCTTTAGTGACAGCTCAAGGATAAACATTTTGAGTCTTTGAAGAGGGATTCTATCATCATCACTCTCGATGAGTCATGAGAATGACCTAATCATTTATGTCTGATGTAGACCTCAACGCGGAGAGAGACCGGCTATGGGAAACTAGTAATCATTTAGAGAAGCGCTACTTACCCATTTTTTTTCTAGGGGTTATCCCCTAGGATATATATGGATTTTGACTTTCCATATTCTATACTCGATTTCCCCCCTAAAGAGTCACATTATGTGCAGTGTACTTTTGCTTTCCGGGAACAGATAGCTTGCTGCCCAAGTTGACCTCCCAAAAAAAAGCCATATAGCAAGATAGCAAGCGCCTAAGGGTGGATTTGAGTGAGCGGGGAAAGCATTGATTTGGTTAACGCCACTCCGAGCAGAAGAGTCGTAAAGTTCTGTTACTGCAGCATGTTAGTAGGGAAGGCAAGGGATGAAGAACATTCCCACAGGCGGGACAGCTCAAAGCCAACAATAGAAGTCGGAATAAGCGGTTAGGCGGCTAAGAAAGTCATCAGGTAGGTAAGCAAGCCGCCCTGGTGCCAAGCTAAGTCCCAAGCTAAAGACAAGGATCACATCGATAAGAGAAAAAAAGCAAAGACGGCTTATGCCGAATATCTTGAACTCAAAGAAAACCAAGCCTAACGACTTTACTTGAATACTAGGAAATCGAAGATGTGCCAAATCGTTCTCTATCGAATCGTAGTCTAGAGCCAAATGAAACTGATTCCATACGAGTCAGTCTGTCAGTTGCAGCTAACAGATCTTGGTCACTGCATCAGCTCGATGTCAAAAGCGTCCTTTTCCGAACCTTAGAATCACTCGATAGTGGGAACAAGGATCTATGTCTCCAAAGACCAATGTTTGGGTACGGACCTTCCAGCTCTTGATGAAAGAGTTGCCGAAGTCCCTATCACTATGGGAGGGGAGGGCATAGGTAAAGCTGAGTTTATGAATTGATAGCTGTTCTTTTCTCCTTTCCGTCCTGTCCTTACTGGTTTGAGACCAAGGAAGCGAAGCGGGCTGCTTGTCTTGCCTCAAGCCCATAAGAGAAGTACTGCTCTGGACTAGGATGGTGCTGTTCTGCTTAAAACTAGGCTAGGAAATGGGCCTAATTCCATTCGCTGATGAAGCCTTAACCCACCCCTGGCTTAGTGACGCGTGCCGTCTACTCTGCTTCAGTGCATACACAAGGGCTATCAGGGGAAGAAGTGGATCTCTTATCCTTCCTTATAATACCGAAAGAGAGTTATACCTGCCCCTATCCTTATACCTTCCAGGTACGAAGGCTGTAGGGGACGACTTTGTTCCTGTTTTTCATTTACCAATCATCTAGGGCTCATCGAAGCCCTATTCTTTATATTAATGAACAGGGCTATCAAATGGTCGACTGTGAAACCCATCAGGGTGAAAAAATAGTAGACTTTAAGCCCTCGATCGGCGATCATTTTTTGACTACTTTTGCGATGTCTGTCACATAAAGAAGCTCAGCAAGCCTTGCAAGAAGTACATGCTTTACTAATAGGGGCATAGTAATAGTGGTTTGCTGGGTTGGTTTTGCTCTCTACCTTCTCACGGGGGGATGGAAACAAGAGAGGTCAACTGGAGTGTAAGCCAAAGGACGGGGCCGAGAATCTGTGATCGATCCGAAGAACCACTGCCAGATACGATTCTGCTCCCCCTTCGTACTACCAAAAAATGAGATTCTTGCCCGGCTTTCTTTCGGCTTAAGAAAGACTGCTAACAGCCTCTCGCCGACAAAGAGCTTTATCCCAGCTCGGAAATAAAATAATCAATGTCCTTTCCCATCTCTATCTTATTTTTCTAGCCTGACTTTCCCGCCGCACCTCTTCTGAAGTCGGTTTTTTATCGCTGATTTCCGCTGCTTAGTGACTTGGCCTTAGTGATACCTGGGACCTACGCTTGTCCAATAGTTCATGTCGGGGAAAGATGAATGAGAACTGGCAGAATATATGCATGGAGATTGACTTGGTGCGAAGGAAAATAGTAGATCTTCCATAGGCGCTTTTCGGACTACACGCCAGTCTTTTTCACCAAGAGCTTGTTCCGAGAGAAGTACTTTGGAATGATTTGATTGGGACGCTAGTGAGTTAATGAGCACTCTTTGCATGGTTCCATCAACCCTTTTCTTGCGTGTTCTGAATCCGTAGGACACTTCTCTGTTCTCATGTATACCTACACGAGATCTCGAACTTGAAACGAAACATCACTCTCCTCTTTCTTTTACCTTTCTCTCTATCCTGGGGCCAAACTCACACTTTCTGGAGCTATAGCATACATTGAGCCAGCAGGGATAGCCTTCTGGAATAGCAAAAGCCTTTTGACAAGCTTCAGACTAGCTTCCTATTTATAACTGCCATCCTGTATAAGACTCACGTTCCTTTCCCCTTACTAGCGACTACCCTAAAACGCTTTTCTTTCATCGAATCGATTCCTTACTGAACTGCTCACCGGAACTACTTTTCCTTCACTTACAAAGGGGGACTGAAAAGCATTTCTTCTTCAGGTTCATCGAAGAACCAACAGAACAAAATGAGAGGTAGCTAACCAACTTCTAGGAGAGACATAATTGACTGCATTAATCTCGGTAGCTACGCCACCCACAGAATTTAAAGAACCTAAAGGAGCACGCAGATCCCAAAAACGCATAGTTTCTCCTCCAAAAATAACTTCTCCGATCGGGGAAGGCATTAGATATTAGATATTTACCTAAACCAGTAGGTCCTTGAGCGGATCCCCTGATGCAAAAAGAAGCTTACCTTATGTTGAAGAGAGGGGGCTAGCCGCATGGAGCTGCTTCATTTCATTTTTAAGGTGAGGGGCGAAGAGCTTCGTTTGAATCCTCATATCCATTAATAGCCACATTCATTAGCGAAAAAGAGGTGACCACCCGAGGAAGGGAAGTGGGAAGGAGGGCAGCTCGAACCTATTGGGATGATGGACATAGATCGGGTCGGCTTTCTGTTTTTCCTCTTCTTGAATGAGTGCTTTGGTAAAGTGGCTTTGTAAGTCTCATCGGTCTTCTGGCAATATATATATATCAGGCATATAATTGATTCTTTGACCGGCTTTGGTCGAGCAACCGTTACATTTCTTGAACGGCCACAGCCTACATAACTCATCTCCCTCTTTTCAAGGAAGTGAGTCTCAGACCGTATGTAGTTCTTTGATCTTCTTTCCCTGATCAAATCACCCTATCACTAGTAGTTACTCCCGATCCGAAGCACCCCTTTTCCATTCATAGAGACGTCAAAATCAATAAAAAGGCCCCAAACGCTAATTCCACCTTCCAGTTCTCAGGTACCTATACCACTGGGCACGGTGCGTTTGAACATAGAAGTCTAATTTTTGGTCCAGAAAAATGGGAGGCGTTCGGTCTAGATCCTGCTGTATTACCCTTGTGTAGTCCACTCGTATTTCTCCCCACACATCTAAGGACAAATACAACAGGTATCTATTCAATTCTGAGAGCTTTTCTATCGTTGCCGCGTTGGTAATAGCCCCAGGTATGTTCACCTGGTTAACAAAGTACCACTCATACGCCTGAGGCGTGTTGACGACCCATTCAAAAGAGACGGGGACGCCATCTAAAATGGGACCCGGGGGCTCTGCGGGTGGAGTGGCTACTGGCCAGCGCGGCGGCGAGACGTAACAAACAGGTAAATCGAAATTGGGAAAAGCAACTAAGGTCGAATATAGCGCGATTGCTAATCGTACCAAAAATAGAAGGGCGACTATTCGTTTGGCATAAAATAGTAGAAGTTTTGTTATAGGGTTGGTGAAAAGAAAAGAAACCATTTCGATTTCTACCCTTTTTGAAGAAATAAAAAAGAGAAAGAAACAAACAAAAAAGGTTTAATAAAACTAAAAGCTGTCATAATTATTAATAGGAAGATTACAACTCCGAGACACCGAACTCCATTATAAATATGGTAGGACAGGGCTAAGGCAGTAATCTCGACGGAGATTAGGATGAGCTTTGATGAATAAAAGATCAATTGGCAGACATTCTCATAGGTGAAGCAAATCAAACCTATTTTCAGACAAAGAAGATAAAAAAAGAAAAGGATAGTGGCTAGGAATAGGAAAGGAATAGACCCTCGTCGGAAAATCTTCAAAAATGGCTTGTGTGATCGGAATAACATAGTCAAGTAAGCGTGATTTTTCCATTTTCATTTCCAAGAAAGGTTGCACTGCACTAAGTTACTTACGTTTGAGGCTGACTCCGGCCCCACATCAAGGTGACAGGATTCGAACCTATGGCCCTCTGTACCCAAAACAGATGCGCTGACCAGACTGCGCTACACCTCGTCTCACCACCCCGGAGCATATAGATCCACCCGATCGATGAAGACTCAAACCGAACTCGCCCATCCTTTTGGGCACAGGGATGCGAGAACCAATCCGAATAATCAACCGCTTTTTTTATCAAATCTGCCTCCAGCAAGACAAGATAGGGGGACGCCAAAAAGCCGTATAGTGCAGGAGCGCTCACATTTTTTGGCTGACTCTTTCACTTGAATTGAAAAATCCGGCTTGCTCCCGGCTACGTGTCCTTTGGACCCTTCGCCCGCTTAGAAGTGGATTCGAACCACTGACACAAGGATTTTCAGTCCTTTGCTCTAACCAGCTGAGCTACCTGAACCACTTTCCTAAAGTCTGTTTTATTCATCGAATAGCGCCCTACCTTACCACTTAACTAGTAAGGGAAAAGCCCTTGACTAATAAGAATATATAGGCTTTTTCGCTTGTTCGTCAAGCTTTCGAGCAGCTCTTTCAACTGCCGCCTAATCCCCCAACATGCTCAAGAACCGAGAGCCGTCCAGTCCCTGGACGGCCGGAGGGAGCTTGTAACTAGAAAGAAGATAGGCCAGGCCGGTCAAAGAAAAACAAGGCGCAACAGGCTCTCTGCTCCTAGTCACTAAGTAGTGCTATTCGGGGGACTGGACTCCACCAAGAGGTTCTTTCTCTCACGTAATTTCGCCCGCCCCTTTCATTTCATTTCCGTGCCGGAGGAAATGGGATTCGAACCCATGATACAATCTTCTTGTATGTCGATTTAGCAAACCAATGCCTTAAGCCACTCAGCCATACCTCCAAGTTGTTGATCGGAATGGAATTGGATGTGCCGGGTTTGGTTGGTTGCCCGAAGGGCTATCTGATCCGATCAACTGCCTAAGCCGTAGCGCGCTAGCGCGCGTACTCTTCTTCTATGAGCGAGACTCTATCCAGATCTGCCACTCGTTGGGCGACGCCTTCTTTTCTATGAACAGCCCACCACTGAATGATGAACTTTCCAGTTTGAGCCTCCGACCCGAGAAAAGACACGGTCAAGCCCTTACCCGCCTGAATGGAATTCAGATCTCCTTCCCTTCGTCTGGTCGAGAAGGGAGAAAGCCCGGAGAACCAGGCTTGCTTAGCTTACAAAGCTAGCTTACTAAGGCGAAGGAATTTGTCGTTGATTGCACGAGTTAGCCAGCAAACCCCCCTGACTCAACCTCAACATCTATAAAAAGAAAAAAAGCCCTTTCTCCTTTTCATAATAATAAGGTAAGCATCCAGCTCTCGATCCAGAGCTACTGCTTCAACAATCAACTGAGCTCAGGAAGTCAGGTTAAGACGTCGACTTATACAGGGGAGATTCAAAATAATTCCTGTCTTTAGAAGTCAATCCCACTAAACTACACTTGTACGCTTGACAAAAGTAGAGGCAAGCGGAGTCAAAGGCCGAGCCTCCACTAGCAAAGGGGGACAGCCATGCCAATCCAAGCAGAGCAAAAGTGCGCCCACTCTACCTTTCTTTCTTTATCTTAGACTTCGTTCTTCAAGGAGACCCATGTGCATTTCCTCTGTTCTGTGCTCTTGAACTCTTGATTCCCTTGTGCCTTTAGTTTAAGTATAGGTCGTCGATTCAATTTATCTTGATGGGATTTTTCCTTCTGTTGAGTAGTATAGAAGGGATTTTTCGAGTAGGTAGCGACAAGACTAGTAGTATCGACAAGAGGCTACATCAATAGCTGAAACTTTTTTTCGGGTAGGGTAGGCTTGGAGTCAGAAGTCCTATTTTTCCCAACCAAGCACTTTTGCAAAGTGCACCTTCCCGCGGTCAAAACAAGACTTACAGATAACAATCAGACCTTACCAGGTACAGGGACCAGACGACTATAGAGCCTAATTCAATGAAAAAGAATTAGGGCTTGCTTTCTCAATTCACATCTATGAGCGATGATTCTTCTATCTCTTGCTCGCTTCGATCGGACTCTGACAGCTTAGGGAAGAATGATGGGTCGCTAACAAGGCCTCTAAATGACCGCTCAGAAAAGGCCTACCTATTTGGATCCCAATCTGTCACTTGCTCGTCCCTCTCTCGGCGGCTTTGACTCATGTCTATAGCCAGTTGCTAAGACGATTCCCATTCAAGCATTCTCATTCAACGATCTATCAATGCTGCCCTTATTCTTTTTTTTTCTAAATTCCTTTCTTTCTACTAGTTCTTACATAAGCAATTTGCAGGAAGTAAACGAATCCTTCCGAACAACTATAAATAGCTTTAGCATCTTTTTTTTAGTTGAAAAGGTCTTTATAGAGCTAAGGGGAAGGTTTGGAACCCTAGTAGCAGAATGGAATCAGTTTACCGGGCTTACTTCCATGCCAACACGAGTAGTTTAACTCATCACTACCTCGTAAGGGCGTTGAGAATTGTTTTTGCTTTTATTGCTATAAACTTTTGAAAAAGTCTTCAAATAGCCTTTGCATAGTTTACGAATTCTGCTTAGTAGGGACCTAAACACAGGAATGGTTTTTATCAGAGTCAGACCGCGCCTTATGACGAAAGGGGGATAAAGGACGGATCACCTGTCGATCTGTGATCAAAGAAAACTATACCTGAAGAATGGGATAGAGATTGACAAGCACAAAAGCTATATCTCATATCTATTAATTAATCTACGCTCATTGATGAGACGGCGACATAGAGAGAAGAAAGTATACCCTTTGTCACCCCCCTTCTCACTTAAAAGTAAAGAAGAGATACAAAGGAATCCAAATTTTGTGGGATTGAGGATGGAATCGAATAGCGAATGCACTTGCGGTTAAGACAGGTCCTGCATCTCCTACCTAATGCAATTGACCGACCCGCCATCTCTTTCCTTCAATAATGCCTTCGCTTCACTTCAAGACGTTATTTACAAATAAGAATAGGAAAGAAAAACGACCTTTTTTTTGAATGGAAGAAAGGCGAAGGGGTTGGTTTTCGAGCGCTGCGGTAATGAGCCGTAAGAAAGATGAGCAGAGCATTCCTTCCGCCGGCCTTGTTAGGAGTAGGGGAGCGTGGTGAGATAGATAGACGTCCAATCCTGCAGCAGCTAGTTGCTCGGCCTTAGTCTTGGGCTGATCTCACACTTCAATCAACCCCTTCGTACTTCGATCCAATCAATCGATCGATCAAGAGGCTAATCTCTTTTTTTTGTTTGGGCCGGTAGCTAAGCTAAAAGAAAGTCCTCGCTTTCTCTTGAACAAGGGGCATAGCATTAGCTTCAATTTCACAAGCTCAACCTTGTTCAAGAAGGGTGGTGAAGAACCGTTGAACGCTTCAACTCGGCCAATGAAGAAGGCGAAGGCTGGGCGAGAGACTAGGCCAACTTACTGCTTACTGCCATGCCATGGTTGAAGCTTTAGGCTCCATAGACGGAATTATGTATTTAGGTATTAGGGAGGAGAGGACACCACTCAGCACCTAAGGTGGGGTTCAATGCCTAACAAAAACAAACGGCCAAAATCAAAATCAAGAGATAAAAAGAGATGTATGGCTGAGGGGAGAAGAGAAAGAACGCATGCATGGAGATTCTGTCTGTCGGAGATTCGAGATGAAAGGACATCGTTGGCTAAGGAAGAATTCAAGGAAGTCCATTACTTAGATAAATGGTGATCTCGTCTTGCTTGCTGGGAGAGAGGAACTTCCGGACCACCTTTTCCAGCCAGATAGCGAGCGATCACTCAGCAATGAACACTAACTGAAAGCGGCCGGGAATGAGTACCTATCCCTTACGGGAATCGAACCCGTGTCTTCGACATGAAAAGACGATGTCCTAACCACTGGACGAAAGGGACCAAAAAGCCATTCTTCATATACCTCAGCTCCGAGAATAGAAGTGGTTCGTTTTGTTTCTATACGCAATTCAAGATTTCGTTTGTGTTCATGTTGGCGATTTATGATGTGAATTCGGCGGGTCGTCCACCCTTCCTACGGGTTCCCTCACCGACCCAGTGACACACCAACCATGCCCCTTCTCTTTCTCCGATCATAAAGCCCCCTGATCCCTTTATTTTTATTTCATCCCCCCTGAATAAGTAAGACCCCGCTCTTTCGAATAAAAAAAAAAGAGGGGCGAAGCGCCCATTTGAAGTGGCGAAGGCCTATGCTACAGTAAGAAAAATAAGTAGGTTGAGGTTACGAAGTAAGGTCAGCTGGTTAAGGAAAGCTCAGCTTATGAAATCGCTTAGCCGTTAAGTTCATTAATGTTGGAGTAGTGAGGCGTCGGTACGGAGTTGCGTCAGCTGTGGATATAGACTAGGCTAAGTGACGGACTTCATCTCTTCTATTCTCTTCACTTATACCTTACACTTCAGCTGAGTCTAACGAGGCTCAGGTGCGGAGCCTTACACTGTGGACCGAGACTACGCAAAGGTAGAACACCATAGAAACTTCGCTGACCTTATCATAAACCTTGATTTCGCTACGCTCAATAAGAACCCGGAATAGCGTAAATCGGTTCGTGTTCCGCTTCCAAAAAGTAAGTCGTCTTTGCCCAAGTGTGAACTGCAGATGACTCTCCAGTGGTTCCATTCCTTCTTACTGTGCTTCTGGGTCAACCCAACCCGAATGGGAAGAAGAGGGTCAGCCAAACTGCAGTCCACTTTGTACCTTTGCTGAGCAGACCAATCAGTCATTTTAGAAAAGGGAAGGGAACTTCTCACCGAAGGAGGCGGGAAGCTACCGCTTCTAGAATGGAAGCTTATCCTTGACTTAGAGCGTATCGCTATTTTGAAATAATAAAAAAAGGTTTATGGATGAAGTAATCGGAATGACAAATGGTTACGGTTGCGGAAAGCGGAGAAAGTCGGGAACCGTCGGTTACCTTTTGAA